TTGGTCATCATCGCTGACATCATCAAAAAATTATCACGTGGCCCGAACTCTTGGGGGTCACCCTGGTGGATTCTATTCAATAAGCCAATCCAACCAGCGATTGAACTAAAAATTCTACAAAAGTTCCTGTAACAGTAACACGGTAGAATTTTCCGGGATCGACAAAACCTGACACAGAAAAAGTGGGACATGGGAAAATTCCAAATTATTCCGCTAACGTCAAAATTCCACTTTCTAATTGGATTTTAATTTGAAATTATGATAATTAACTTCATCTTTTACACTATTAAATACATTACTCTAAGCAACTCGGTACTCTTCCTTGTCAATTTTTTTAAATGTATATTAAGTGCAATAAAAGTTGGTTGTTTTGTCCAATAACAAAAATGCTCTTACACGAGGAATTTTTCCGATCCCTGTCACACGTAAATCTTGTATTTCTGGGGACCACTAGTGTGACCCCTATTTCTGGTAATCAGTAAGTATTTCTTTTTGAAAACCTAGTTAACGTTAACAGTGCAGCTTTGGTTTCTTTAATATTGATTTTCATTTTTCATGGCAATAACGATAATGTTCATCATTACATAATAACAATAATAAACAAAATCTGAATACTAAAACATGATGATGTGATGGTAAGTTCGTTTAATATTAGGAATCATAAATAAGAGATCAAAATCAAAAAATGTAATGAATTGTGAAAAGTCAAAGTTTTCACTTTACATTTTGTATTCAGTTTCCAAAAAATATCCAATTAGTGCGAGAACTCGATTCAATCGTTTAATTAAAATAATTGCCAAAATAATCAAGACAGCCTCTGGTGATGCTTTCTATGCCATTATTCGCCAATAAAATAAATACATCTTGTCCGATTTGGTAATTTTCGTTAATAAATGATATTACAAAAAAAACGAATTCGGTTACTGTTCCGCACACTTAAAATGTGCATAGTTTTGGTAACCATGTATGAATGTGAATTGTAATTGACAAAGGGAGTCACTACGTAATATATCTGATTGGTGATTGGCAGTTGGCGTAAAGATTACCATAACTTTATCATTAATTTAGTTTGTTAATCATTTTAGTTCCTTACTCTGTTAGCGAATATTTTCGTTTAATAATAAATAATATTATTCTTTCCTGCTGGTCATGAAAGAAGTTGCACAGTTTTACGGTCTTTTTAAATAATTACAACCTTTTTAAATAACTACAATCACAACCGTTACCACAACCAATACCACAACCTCTACCATAACCTAAACAATAGCACAATTTTTTTGTACATATATCCGTTTATTTACTTAATGATAAAACTTAAAAATTTATTATTAAGAAATTCATGATTATACACGGAAAAAAAATGGAAGACGTCAATAAAAAAGTCACGAGCATAATAGAAGATTTGGAGAATATCGGGATAAATGAAAAAGAAACGACGACAACGACACCAACAATTATCACGCTCCCAGTAAAAGGCATGACTTGTCAATCTTGTGTGCAATCCATCAAAAGTGTCGTCGAATCGTTACCAGAAGTATCAGACTGTCAAGTAAACCTCGAAAAAGAACAAGCAAAAATTAGCTTTGACGCGAGCAAAACTAGCAAAGCACAGATTATTCAAGCAATTGAGGATTGTGGGTTTCAAGTTCCATTGACGGAAGAGGGGTTATCTTTCGAATTGCTATTGAACAATGACAAAAATACCAATTCCGACTCCAACGACGGCTCAAGTATTATCACTTTGCCCATCAAAGGAATGACGTGTATGTCATGTGTAAATTCTATCACTAATGTGTTGAATACAGCGCCCGGCGTCAAAAAGGTTGACGTAAGCTTAAAAAATGAAAATGCGATGGTGGAATTTAATCCGGAAAAAATCAACAAACAAAAGATAATTGATGTGATAGAAGATTGTGGATTCCAAGTGCCACAATTCACCGATATCAAGAATTCATTGATTAATATTAATTTACCAATAAAAGGAATGACATGTAATTCTTGTGTGAACTCGATTATGAATGTATTGCAACCTATGCCTGGGATTCATAATGTCCAGATTAGTCTCGTAAATGAGAGTGCTTCTATTCAATTTGACGATATTTTACTTTCAGAAAAAGGAATTATCGATGCAATCGAAGATTGTGGATTCAAAGTCCCGATCGATGTCGTAAATATCACCACTAAAAATGATAGAATCATATCGAGTTTCAGCACTTTTGTAGGACTTGAAACACCTCCAGCAAATAAAACTTCGTTTCCGTTATCATCGATAAAATCGCACACTTTTTCGGCGGAAAGCATCCTAATTAGTCAATTAAAAATTCTAGGTATGACCTGTGCATCATGTGTCAATAGCATTGAACGTTCACTTCGATCCACACCTGGAATAGTCTCAGTCAAAGTTAGTCTGTTGGCTGAACGTGCAACTGTAGAATACGATGCGAATGTCATCGATGAGAATCGAATTGCGGAAATGATAAATTCAATCGGGTTTGAAGCATCACCAATCGGCCAAAAACACGAGGATACCGTGGAATTACAGATTTTTGGAATGGCCGGTAGAACTAGCGCAAGGACCATCGAACAAAGCTTACGTAAATCTTTTGGAATTCTAAATGTTTCAGTGAATGTCGCCACCGAAAAGGCTAATGTCCAGTTTGATAAGGGAATTTTAGGCGTTCGCGATGTGGTAAATTTAATTGAAGCTTTAGGATACGATGCTTTATTAATTGATAATAATCGCAATGCACAGTTAGAATCATTGGCAAGAACAAAAGAAATTGCAGAATGGCGTGATGCGTTCTTTCGATCACTTATATTCGCAATTCCCGTATTTATTATCTCTATGATTCTGCCAGCATTTGAATGGGGCTCAAACATCGTCGATGTTCAATTATTGCCGGGGATTTCTAGTGGAGATTTTCTTTCACTGATATTAACAATTCCGGTGCAATTCGGAGTGGGAAAAAGATTTTATTCTACTTCATATAAAGCATTGAAACATGGAACGGCAACGATGGATGTATTAATATCATTAGGAACTACATCCGCCTTTTTCTTTTCTTGTTTCTCAATGTTTTATGCTCTCTGCGATTTTCCACAACACGCAAAACCATCCACATTTTTCGATACTTCAACAATGTTGATAACATTCGTCACATTTGGTCGATATTTGGAAAATATGGCGAAAGGCAAAACTTCAGCCGCACTATCGAAATTAATGTCACTCACACCTTCCACGACTATAATTTATCTTAAAGACTCGAAAACCGGTGAGATTACCGGAGAAAAGAAGATTCCAACTGAATTAGTACAAGTTGGTGATTTCGTAAAAATTGTTCCTGGAGATAAAATTCCCGCCGATGGAATCCTAATATCTGGACAATCAACAATCGATGAGGCGATGGTGACTGGTGAAGTTGAACAAGTAAGTAAAAAACCGGGTGATATTTTAATTGGAGGAACTGTTAATGGATTAGGAACATTTCAAATGCAAGTTACCCGTACTGGTAATGATACTGCATTAGCTCAAATTGTGAAATTGGTCGAGGAAGCTCAAACTTCAAAAGCACCAATACAAGCATTTGCTGACGTTGTAGCTGGATATTTTGTACCGGTGGTGATCACTTTGGCGATTGTCACATTCGCAGTATGGATTTTTCTGGCGCATATCCTTGATCCAGTTCCCGAAATATTTCATCACGAAAGCAGCTATTTTGTCGTCTGCTTAAAATTATGTATTTCTGTAATTGTGGTCGCTTGTCCTTGCGCTTTAGGATTAAGTACACCAACAGCCGTGATGGTTGGAACAGGAATTGGAGCTCAAAACGGTATTCTAATCAAAGGTGGCGGTCCATTAGAGGAAAGCAAAAAGATTACCAAAGTAGTATTTGATAAAACTGGAACGCTCACTAAAGGAAAATTGGAGGTAGCACATCATGAAATAATTACCGGAAACTTGGAATTAACCCCAGAAAAGTTCTTTGCCATCGTTGGAGCTGCGGAATCTTCGAGTGAGCATCCATTAGGTCGAGCTATTGTACAACATGCACAACAGTTGTTAGAAATTGAACAATTCGACGCTGAGGTCTCCGAATTTGAAGCAGTTGCGGGATTAGGTATAGGGTGCAATGTACTATACAATGCATCATGTGCATTTTCAAATTCAAATTTGATCAATCAATCAACGAAAATCACAACAAATACTGCAACGTCGTATAGTGTACTTGTTGGTAATGCCAGTTTTCTTTCTGATCATAATCAAATATCTATTCCGAATTCGGTATATAAAATCAAAGAAACACAAGAACGACTAGGGCGAACCACCGTTTTAATAGCAATCAATAACACATTTGCTGGCTGTGTCTTTTTATCGGATAGCATAAAACCCGAGGCGAAATTAACCATTGCTGCGTTAAATAAAATGGGTGTTTCGGTAGCAATGATCACGGGAGATCAAGAATTAACTGCAAAAGCAATCGCTGCACAATGTGGAATAACGGAAATTTACGCTGGTGTCTCTCCAAATGGTAAAAAACAGATTATTCAAACGCTTCAACATCCCTCTGCCACCACGAAAAGAAAAATTGTTGCAATGGTTGGAGATGGGATAAATGATTCGCCTGCTTTGGCCGCAGCAAATGTGGGAATTGCGCTGAGTAGTGGGACGGATGTTGCAATAGAAGCAGCAGATTTGGTATTGATGCGTAATGATCTAATGGACGTGGTAACAGCACTGGATCTATCACGAACAATATTTAAAAGGATACAATTGAATTTCTTGTGGGCGTGTATTTACAACGTATTGGGAATTCCATTGGCGATGGGATTTTTCATTCCTTGGGGTTGGCATTTACATCCGATGATGGCTGGTGCGGCGATGGCTTGTTCTAGTGTTAGTGTCGTGTTATCGAGTCTAATGTTGAAATGGTGGCAAAAACCACAGTGGGTTGATGATGGTGAAGGAGGCGCGGAAAGAATAAGACCTAAAAATGAAGGTATAGAAGGTATATTGAGTGCTATTGATCGATGGGGTAAAAAACGAGTTGAACGAGGTTATAGACGTGTTCCTATCGGAGATGAGGATCTAAGAAATTAGTAGATGTAATTTTAATGTAATAATATTCAATTTGCCATCGGTTAGTAATTTAACCAAAATATATAAGTTAGATTGGCATAAACAAATAAGTTCTAGCAATAAATGCAGTCAGAATTCGATTTAACACCTAAATGTCAAACAATAAAATGATGATTTTATTAAACTTATCAAGCTAACAATTGTTGGTGGTTGCTAACGTTATAAAAAACTTTCTATCAATTAGAATTTCTTTTTATTGCAAAGTTCAAAATCAATTACTATAAAATCGTATAGTAATAAGTATAATGTTTATTTTGACGACGCAGCAGCAGACTCTGACACCAATTTATGTAATACAGCCAAATAGCAATACTGATATTGACTAAGAGTTTGCACCATGTGTGTTCTTTGCTCACGAAAGTGTCGTACCAAATTAAAAATCAAATCTGAAGAACTATCAGGCATCTTCGGTAATAAAGCCAAAGCTGAATCAATAGTGCAAAATGTTCCCGTACGCCCACATCCAGCACTACAATGCACCACAACAGGATCAATAATCTCTTCTCCTTCTCTGCTGTCACGATTAATATTTTGTAGTTCATTTGTTTTTCGAATTAATTGTAAAATAATGTCTGGTGAATCGGGAACTCCATGATCCGGCCAACCTATAAATTGTAAATGAATAATACGTCTAGATTGAGATTGAGATGCAGTAGCAACGATCCCATCATTTGTTGGAATCTTTGTTAAGATGATTGTGCGTTCGATACAAGATGTGTCTGCGTCTAATTTTTCTGATTCCAATGAAACTTTTAATCCAGTAGTCGAAAATTCTATCGGTTGCTCCTTTCGTAATGGCCAATACTGTACACATTTTTGACTTCCTTTCTCATTCTCTTTAGTCAACATCACAATAATACGAGAGTTTTGTTCCCAAACCATCAACCAAAAATCATCGATCGTTTCTTGCAAAGTGCCTTGTGTAGCGATATATCGCTTCGCATTACCTGGCGCCTCGATGAAACTGGCATTGATGTAGTCAGTTTTCGACGGTCTTTTAGCGGATAATTTTACGCGATTATATTCAAATGGAAGAATGTCCATGTATCGATTCAGTTTTTGGGCTTCATAAGTTTTTGCCACGGATATACTGTATTTATTGTGCGGGTCAGTAGATTTCGAGAGTCTCTCGATGTCTTCTCTTGCTAATCTACTGAATTTGTCAACAAGTGCTTTGTGACCAGATATTTCTATCTGTGAAAGAAAAGGAGGGACTTTTGGTTTGGTCATATTCGACATTTTTAATATTATTCCTTTATTATTATTACTAAGAATGAGAGAACAAAATTTTGAAGAAAGCAAGTTTAAAGAAATGTAAGCCGTATTTTGTATGTCTTGTGGAAGCGGATACTCTGATTTTCTTTCTGAATAAACAGAGGGGGACGAATTATGAATTGTTGTATATGAAAAATGTGTACCAACAAAGGTTCCAAGAATCACGTGAGAAGATCCAGTTATTAAATGACACTATTTATAGCAAGGAACATTCATTGTCCGTTTTTTTTGATATTGCTAATATAGGGGAGACAATCTACATATAATCTTACTCTCCAACCCTAACTCTATAATCAACCTTTGGATAATCCAGGAGTTAAGCTCTGATTTCATGTCATCAACACTGATATCATGATCATTGCAGTCTGAGGCCGAATTCACTATTATTTGGTGTTTCAAACTTTGGAAAAAGATAGCTATGCGGAGAAATCAATTTTCATGTTTTTTTTTTACCGCCGCAACGCTTCAGAAAGAGCTTGTAGTTCTTTAATTAAAATGCATCGAAAAAATTAATCGATAATCACACATCTTCCTATGTAATTAGACACTGCGACACAATTGACCGGCGATTATTTATAAAACGTCAGAATAGACGATTGACCGGTTGGTGGGGAGGAAGTCATCCACGCTGTGGGTTTGGAGGCTCCCATAGTTTATAAATATCGTATATAAATGACATTTGTGTATATATTTTCTTTGTATTTTTATTGCTGGAGGACAAGTTTTTTTAGATATTTCATAAACTTTTTTTGATTGATGGACTGGACGATTTCGTAGACTTTGTATTTCATAGATTTATTCGTGGCCTTAGATTGGATATTTAACATTAGTAGATCGCCTTTCTTGATTATGAACATTTACGTGTATTTTAAATTTAATTACAAGCGCGCTCTTGACCATAAAGTAAAATCACGTTATAAGGACCTTGAATTTCACAGAAACTTAGTAAGCTCGTTATATAAAACATAGTAATTTCGATATAATGAACATTTCTCTTATCAGCCCGAGGTGGTCGTTATATTGAGTGAATTTATACTACTGCCGCTTGAATATAAATATAAATATTAATATTTTGACATTAGAGACCATCAGAGGGGAACGAGTGCTAAATATTTATTTATAATGTAATCGAAAGAAATCACTTTCTTGATAGTCCACTATAACGAAAAAAAAAATTTACTAATTGTATAGACTTTTGTGTAATAAGCTCGAGATCCACTATAAAAAACCTCCACTAAAGAGGTTCACTGTGTAGTTGAGTTGAGTTGAGCTGAGCTGAGCTGCAATAGAAACTATTGACAATTTTGCCAGATCTTACCAAAATAGATTTAATCTATGCAAGTCCTGACCTCATATTTTTGAAGATTACAAAGACGTTATATATTCTTACTTTCCTCTTCACTTCTTTCGGTGATCATCCTGGTTAAAGAACGGATCCCAGCCATCATTTATTTAACTTGTAATTGATTATTTTCGCATTTTAACCGCGTAATGTTTACCAATTAAAGTAACTAACGATTGTAGAACCCCATCGTGTATATAAGTAAATAACCATCTCATTTTGGTATATATCCTTGAGTCTCATAATTAATTTATAAAAACTATATAATATTTGCAAAAAAAAAAATTAGTGACTCATCGCAAAATAAAACTTTCCCATGCTCAAAAAAGCCACATAATAATGATAAAAACGTATAAAATAATAAAATATAATATACATTATTCTATGCATCTCCCGAATCAATCAATCAATCAATCATCGTATCATCTTCATCAGAATAACGATCCGAGATTAAGACTGATACTAGAAGTTGGATAATACCCTTGCGTCTTAATGAAAGGCATTAATTGAATTAACTAACATACGACCGAACCACATTGATTTCTACAATCAATCATATCATCTTCGTCAGAATAACAATCTGAGGTTAATAAAAAAAAAAAGAAAAAGTAAACGTTTGATATTATATTGATATTAAAGACTAAAAAGCAGATAGTATCTGCCCTGATAATCAAATTAACTAGCGATGCTACGATAAATTGATATGAGCTATGATGATTGTTTTATTTAATATCACATTTAATGATATTAATAAATCTATAATCATGACCATATATTTTTCGAAATTTAGATAATATTACTTACTTATCATATTTTATCGTATTCATCACGTAATTGTAATAGCTCGTGCGCGGACAAAAAACAAATAGTCGTGAGAATATATTGTGCCGACTTTGATTGTCCCATAGAAAATATGTTATTTATACATTGATTTTGACTAAAAACATGATACCCATGGATTGATCAGACACACTCGAATCCATTATAAAATGTGATACTCATACCAGCTAAAAATCTTCACTTTTTCATTTTCAACTTATTCGAATAATACTAAGAAACAACAATGGCAAATCATATTAATCACAACGCGGCAAATAATATTAACCACAACGCGGTGAATAATATTAACCACAATATAGTGAACCACGTTAACCATAATATAGTAAACCACGTTAACCACAATATAGTGAACCACGTTAACCACAATATAGTGAACCACGTTAACCACAATATAGTGAACCACGTTAACCACAATACAGCGAACCACGTTAACCGCAATCCACCACTGGCACCAGCACCCGCACCCGCACCAGCACCAGCACCCGCACCCGCACTCGTACCAGCACCCATACTACCACCATTGCAAAACGCGCTTTTTAACCCACCAGCAGCACCAGCACCACCACCACCACCGTTACGACGACAAGACGCATTTTACGATCCAGGTGTATTTGAAACCTCAACAAGATTCTACACTACACTTACGCAAGCGTTTCGAATTGTGAGTCCACAAATACCACCTCCACAACAACAGCCTTCTTCAGCAGCACCACTACAACCACAACCGTCACAAGTCGTTGCACCCACACCACGCAGGGCAGCTGCGCGACGTTCTGCAACGCCCACCCGCTTCTCGCAAAGGATTGCAAATATTAACCGCCGAAGAAACGAGAGGCCCTCTAAAACTATTGCGCGTCAACGAATATCAGAGTATTATCGACGCTAATTGCTATCGTTATCGCGAGAATATTACTTGTCAAATATGAGATAGACACAGCCAATCATCTCTACATTGCAACTTTCTATCGTGATACAGTTCGGACAGTAATGCGATACGAAACTCCGACCTAGACATCATATTTATCTGGTGTTTTTTAGATTCGTGGACGAAAATATCTGTATCGGAAATCAAAAGTAAGCAAAAAGAAAGACATTTTGAAGTTAGTAGGAATGTGCATTGATAAGTCAATTGTATTTAGGGACCTATTATCTAGATCCAAGGTTGGCTGGGATGCGCCGTTTTCGACATGATATGTTGACAATATGAAAGATGACGAAATTTTTTATGACGCGCGTATTGATAAGAAGAATATTTTAATTAGCTCTGTCTATCAATCAATTATCGTTATTATTATTATTATTATTATTATTATTATTATTAAGAAAATTGCGAAGAATGACTACTAGCTCCATGTCTCGAGAACAGAATATTTTATTTGTGATTTAGTTTTATTAGTTTTTATTCAATTACATTTCATGTAATAATACAATCATACGTAATTCCGATCAAACTTGATAAATAACAAGGTTTCAAATAAAAATTTCTAATATATGAAAAATGTCTGATTATTTTCTAAGTTTTATTGGGTGGACTTTTCTGCCGCGATTAGTGACAACCTGGCTTCAAAGCCTTTTTTACAAGTTAACTTATCGCGCAGGAGCAAATACTCCTAAACCAGGGCAACCAAAGTATAAAAAACACTCCACACGAATATATATATTAGTTGTGTTCGTGTATCTCGCGTACACAATTATTGAGGCTGATCTGTCGCTACAGCCAAACTATTACAAGATTCTTGAGTTGAATCACGATTTTTCTCATAAAGATATAAAGACTAACTTTCGAAAGCTGTAAGAGTTAGCATTTTTATGTTACTTTCGTGTATTAATGACTAATCAATGGGTTTATCGTACGTATCTAGGCAGCTTCAATATCATCCTGATAAGAATCCTGGTGATGAAGCAGAAGCTACTTATATATTAATACGTACAGCGTATGATACGCTTACTGATCCGGTGAAGAGGTTCGCATACGATAGGTAATTAATAATAATAAGTCGTGATAATTTTATAAATCTTAATAATAATAAAAAATCTTTTGAATAGATTTGGACCAGATATAAATAGATGGGATAACACTAAAACAACTCGAGACTATTTAAATCGTGGATGGATGTCTTTTATAGAATTCTATCTTGGCATTGGTCTCCTTCTTTTACTCTTGAATATACTGGGTAAAGGACAATTCGGACGCTTCTGGCGATTTGTAGCATTCTTTGGGATGGCATGCATCGAGGCAAAAATGATACTTTACCAGAGTCCTCCACTTTTTCCTTCACTTATCCTACCACACCGCCCAATCATCTTTGAACAAATAGTAATCCTGCGGCAAGTGTTCATTACCACATTTATCGCTCTATCGCAGGTCGGCCCGGTAATATTCCCGTCCGACTCTTCACCGGATATTCGTGATTCGTTGCATCAATTGCAGGTGTTGAGTAATATCGCGGCAGAGGAGTCTAATAATCAACTTCGATTTGGATTTGAACCGTTTGCGCGTGATCAACATGCGCAATTGGAATTGAAAAGGAAAATGGAAAAGTTGGCAGTTGATGGTTTCTTGTATTCGGATCCTGATTATACGCAAATGTATAGTCAAGTTCACCAACGAATTGTCACTAGTCGACGAAAGAATGCTTGATTATTTATTTTGTTATTGTTTTAGTATAATTATTCTTTAAAGCGTTGATCGCGATTTTTACATTAATACATATAAATATTGTATCATATACAATCGATAGCGGGACCCTGACTATAGGGAGGTGTGCTTACAGAGTTTCTATATTGAAATATTGAAAATAACATCTAAAGATCTAGGTGTCTACTTGATCGAGTGATTCTATTCGATCATATGCTATTCGATCATCTGATATACTATCCCATATGAACACTCGAAAATGATGATTGAGTGAAGAATGAGCATGTATCTTGTATATGGAGCCAAGACCACCAGAATTTGGAGTTGCTCTCGCATAAAATACTCGACCAATACGTGAATGAACAAGTGCCATCGAGCACCTAAAATAGAACAAGATAAAATATTATTAGTTATGTTAAAATCGACTAGATTAAATGATTTCAAACTCACATTACGCAAGGTTCATGAGTCACAAATAAATCATAATTTTTACAAAGATATGCATCTTTACTCTGTTGTCTCGTTGTATTTTGAGTTTTGGATGAGAAAGAAGGCGATGTTAAGATGATCTCAATATTTGATTCTAGGGAAGATGTTTCATCATCATCCTCGTCTTCGCCTTTTTCCTCTTTATCAATAATTATTGTATGTTTTTTTGGTTGATGTAAGTTGCTTTCATTCCCTTCATCATCATCAATTTCTTTAGCCTTTCGTTTCTGAGGGCGAGAAATATCGTCGGCCGCCATTTGCTCATTACTCATATTTTTAAATTGTCTCGAAGATATTTCTAAATTTGCCACGACATTAATACAATTTAACACAGAATGACAAAGCGGATGACGTGTTGATGCACGAGTATCATGACTTTCCGCAAGAATAGTATTTGTACATGGGTCTATGATCGCACATCCAATTGGTATCTGTACTGGATCAATCCAGAAGTAGGATAACGGAAACAGAAAAGGATCAAGGTTCTGTGACATGAAGAGTATAAGCAAGGAGTCAAGTTTAAGTTTATAATGTATACAAACCTCCCCTTTTGATTTTGCTAATTGCGCGAGTTCTATCACTCTATTCATGTGAGAAGCGAGTATATCGATATCTTGTACTGTGAATTTCCTAGCACTAAAGGTAAAAGTGATGGATTTCAAATGATAATGACTGATTAATAAGAAATAAACACAAGAAACCAATCAAAAGAAACCAATCAAAAAAAAAGTTTTTTTTTACTTATTAGGATGTTCATGAAAATTCAATGGCCACAATGATTTCCACGCATCAAATTGTGCTCGCGTAATTGGAGCATGCTTTGGAACTTTTTCGACGCGTAATCGTGATATTATTTTATCGAATCCGTTGGAAGTGATCAGAATTTGAAGATCAACAAACGAGATCAAAGTGGTAAGACAAAAAAGAATTGTGAGGGTGAATCCTTTTCCTTCATAAAAAAATTGAAATCAATCGAGTTATTGGTAATTAGAGTTTAGATACACATGTAGATAAAAAAATTTTCCATTACCTTTTTCTTTTTCATCATTGTAAATCTTTCTGACCCGTTTAACATGATTTAAACTCGTGAATGATGATGGTAAATTTTTCTTGATGAACCTGTAAGTGAAGAGATGGATGATGAATCTATCAATCAATAAATAGATAGATAAATGTCAAATACAATATTAGGAATTTGTATGAATTTTACTTTAGCACACGTTCTGCCTCTTTGGGTTCAATATCAGCAGCATACACTTCAACTTCATGATAATAATATTTCCACCTTGAGTATTTTGACGAAAACGACAAAAAACCATATAGCATATATCCTGATTTTACCGGTTTCAAGGTCTCTCGTCTCCTCGTCCGTTAATATTGGTCGAAAAGGTAAATTCGACATCTTTTCTTTCTGAACAAATGCAATGTTACACCAAATCATCAGTACCAAAAACGCGTACCATGCCAGTTTTCTAGTTTTCTCCATTTGTTGATCTTATCAACTGTTTACCTTTCCTATGGACAAGTTCATAATTCGAAGACCCGCAAAAAGGTCGAAGGCCGAAGCCAATTCTGAAGAGGAAGGAGAGAATATTCCTAAAACGCGAGTACCGAAGAAAGCAAAACTTGAAAAGAAGATGCTAGTCAAAAAAGTAGTCACGCGAAAAGGCAAACAAGTTTCAAAAAAATCAAAGAATGACGAAGGGGAAGAAATCAACCAAGATAAAGAACTTGAAGAGGCTATGGAAGAGGATGAAGCCGAGGAAGACGAAAAAGACCTGGCCATTAAAATGTATGTCCTAAGTATGTCCTAATTTCGTTTCATGCACTGCTGATGCATTCAAAACCCTTTGTTATTGACAATTAATTGACGCCCCTTTTTTAATAGTGCAAATGGGAACGCATTGAATAATAATAAGAGTTTCAATTGGAAAAAAGGCGAACCGTAATATCTACTTTTTTTTGATTCAGAATTTTCAAGAAAGTTTTATTTATAAAGTATCTTATACTTTTTCTTGTCTAGTGTCCCTTTTACCGCGTTATGTAAAACCTTTGAAGCAATTGAAAAAGAAACAAAACGATTGGTCATACAGGAATATTTGATGACATTTCTTAAAAACGTGCTCGAATTAACTCCTGACAATTTACTACAAACATTATATTTATGCTTGAATCGCGTAAGTATAAAGAAACTGAAATCTGTCAATTGATCAATTCAATTCTTTTAACATTTATATTTCAGATATGTCCAGAATATGAGAATTTAGAATTGGGAGTTGGGGAAGGTATTTTGATGAAGGCGATTGCGGAATCTACGGGAAGAAATTTAGCTTCCATTAAGAAAGATATGAAAACATTAGGAGATCTAGGATCGGTTGCAAAGGTATAAAATCACGCCGATTTTTTTTATTGTTAATGGTGGTGTTGGTTTATGATTTAAAAGAATCTACTTTTTTTTACTATAGGCTAGTAAACAATCTCAATCTACTTTATGGACGCCGAAGGCTTTAACTATCCCGAGTGTCTTCAATAAAATGAAAGCAATCGCTATGACTACTGGGCAAGACGTAAATAGATATTTAAATCAGCTAAATCCAAAAAGAATTATTTATTTCATCAAATCACTATTCTTTATTATTAGTCGCAAACCAGGAAACTTGGTGAGATCCAAGGACTTCTTTCTGCATGCACAACCGGAGAAGAAGCCAAATTTTTGACCAGGTAATGTTCTATTTAAAATATTCTTTAAGTTATGCTCTAGTAAAATAATAATGCGTAATTAAATATTTGTAGGTCGTTAGAAGGAAAACTTCGTATTGGCTTAGCCGAGCAAACGGTTTTGATCAGTCTTGCTCAAGCTATTTTATTGAAGGATCCTCGTAAATAAATATTAATTTTGTTTGGGTGATATCGTGTAAATATGTTTAAAGAAAAAAACTTATGTTTATATTACTGAATTTAATAGAATATCAAAAATTATCAAAATCTGCCAAAGCGTCCGAACTTGCAGAAGCACCAAATATCCTAAAGGCAGTTTATAGGTGAAATAAGAATAAATTTAATTATTTTATTTCGATTATATCGTAACATCTGTTTTCTATCACCAAAAAGTGAAGTACCATCATACGATATTGTTGTTCCCAAATTGTTAGAATTTGGTGTGAAGGGATTAAGGAAGAATTGTAAATTGACACCAGGTATGAATTTCTTATCATTTTTAATTTCATTTGTAATCATAAACTCACAAATTTTTCGTTCAAACATTAGGGATACCCGTAAAACCAATGTTGGCGCATCCAACAAAAAGTATCACCGAAGTTCTAGATCGCCTTGAAGGCCACAAATTCACTTGTGAATTTAAATATGACGGGGAAAGAGGACAGGTAACAGTCGAGTTTCTTTTTATAGTACTAATATATCTTCCAATCAAATTAACGCTTTTTGTGGTAAAATCTTACCAGATTCATATACTTGAAAATGGTACAATGAAAATTTATAGCCGTAATCTAGAGGATAATTCACAAAAATTTCCAGACATCCTTGAAAAGATTCCAAAGGTTTGTAATAAAAATATCCTCTAGATCTCAGTTTAATTTGTTTATTCAAATTTTTTAATTTACCATAGGCCCTCAAACCAACTACCAAGTCATTTGTGATCGATTGTGAAGTGGTAGCATGGGATAGTGAAAGTCATTGTATTCGTCCTTTCCAGATTCTAAGTACCCGGAAAAGAAAAGATGTAAAAGAAGAAGATATCAAAGTCACAGTTTGTGTTTTTGCCTTTGATATTTTATATTTAAATGGAGAGGTAAATAATATTCATCCATAACTCTGAAAATTTTCATTAATTTATCGCAAAAAATAACATTCGATATCTTTAATAAATAATAAGTCGTTATTACAAAAACCACTTTCTGAACGCCGACAAAGTTTGTACGATGCATTTCAACCTGTAAGGGGAGAATTTGCTTTTGCACATCATATGGACGCTACGAATATTGAAGAGATTCAGGTATTTTTAGATGAAAGTGTCAAAGACAATTGTGAAGGATTAATGGTGAAGATAAGCGAGGGTCCAGAATCCACTTATGAGCCTTCTAAAAGATCAAGAAATTGGTTGAAGGTTTGTCGTTTTATTTCTATTATATGTTAAATTTAAATTGTTTCTACTTTCTATTATATTTATTAAAAAAAATTTAAATTTCATCATATCTAGCTCAAAAAAGATTACTTGTCCGGTGTTGGTGACTCTTTGGATCTGGTTGTGATTGGGGCTTATCTTGGACGTGGCAAACGTACAAAATTATACGGCGCATTTCTTCTCGCGTGTTATGATCCCGACAATGAAGAGTACCAAGCAATTTGTAAGATAGGAACCGGTTTCTCTGATGCAACTCTCGAAGAACACTACAAGTTCTTGAAAGAGCATGAAATTGAAGCACCGAAATCTTATTACAATTACGATAAGAACACCAAACCGGATGTATGGTTTGAACCTTGCCAGGTTTGGGAAGTTCTCGCTGCAGATTTGAGTATTTCTCCTATTTATAAGGCTGCTGTCGGTGTGGTATGTATATTTATTTAGTGTAATAATGATCCGAAGCTTGTAAACAAACTCACTTGTTTTTTTATAATTTATTTATTAGTGTGACCCCACTAAAGGAGTATCTCTACGTTTCCCTCGCTTTATAAAAGTACGAGATGATAAAACGCCTGAAGATGCTACCACTAGTGAACAGGTAATATTGATATTCTTTAATTCTTTTAAGCATCAATTTCTCTCCTAATAACAATAATTATATATCACCTAGATTGCAGAAATGTATCAACGACAGTTCCAAGAAAGAGAATAAAGTCTCACTTTCTTTCTTAGTAATACGATTTATAAATACCATTCAAATTGTTAGTATAACACGTCAAAATATTTCTAAAATGATTCAAATATTTCTATCGCTAATGTTAGGTAAATCTATAAATTCGTACATCAATCGCTATGACCAGAATCGCTAAAATTACTTTTTCGTCAACTTGCTTTCTGCTTTTTCAACCTCATTATTAATGCCACCAACTTCAGTGTTGTCACTTGAACGCAAATCCAGCAATTTGATTGGTTGGGACACGTTCCAACCAACCCCAACCAATCAAATTGGATTTGTGTTGAAAAAAGCTATATCAATCCACTTGTGGGCGATTTTTCTCGTAGTCCAGAATTTTGTCCGTCAACAATCTCATTATATAAATTTAAAGTTATAATTTAAACCATCTCAATTTCAAAAAGAAAAATTTAAGTTTCCAGCTTTATCAATTATTGTTATTATTTCTATTTTCATATTGATGATGATAATTATTATTATTGTTGTGATATTGATTAGATTTATTATTATCATTATTATTATCATCATCATTATCATCTACTTCAATAATAAATAGCAATATATTCAAGTTTCCACAATTATAACAAGTTAATAAGTATTATTTCATTGTTAAATATTTTTATATTGAATTCATTATTTGTTAATTAATATTTTGATTATTACTTGTTGATAGTATTTTCAATTTATTTGTTAAAGCAGCTAATTGTTATAAAAATAGGCTAATTTTATTTGATTATTGTAGTATGATTGAAATATTTAATAGACTTATAGTAGTGATACTAGTAATAAATTCAGTAAATTGTTGATAACTAGATTTATATAATTGAGCAATGTGAATTACAGTATTCAAGGTAGTTAATCTAATTAAATTAACAAATAATTTGATCTTTGATTTCAATTTATTAACAAATAATATTACTTTAAGATGTTCTGAATATATGTTACTTGGATTTATTCAATGAAGTAATTCTCGAATAATAGCAGAATATTAGTTAACACTTTCAGTAAGTAACTGTTTTTATTAATTTAATTGTTATTATCATTGTTTAGACAGAAAAATAAATGAAATAATTTAATTATTTATATTATTTGAAGTATTTGAATTTCATTTTATTAATCAGTTTAATATAGTTACTCTTTTATTGATAAGTCATGTTCTAGCAACATCTTTTAAATATACATCAACAATTTGTTGTTTGCTTGCATTAGTAATATTGTTGTGATATGAATTTTACCATATCACATGACTTTTCATAGTGTCACCATTGTGACATGTTATATATTATTTAGATATTAGTTGACACATTATGTCATTATCAAGAAAAGCTCAACATTTATCTAT